TTTTTTTTTTTTTTTTTTTTAAGGGGGGAAAATCATCGAATGACTGCTCCCGCCTGGGTGAGGCGGGAGGGAGTGTCAGACTCTTACTGACTAAAAACCACCCCGTTCCTTCTCCTGCACGTCGAGCCGGAGCCCCGGTTACCCGTTAGGTTCTCCGCGACTCCGAATCGGCATCGGCCCTATTGGGCCCCATCTGTGGTGGTCTGATGGCTCTTTGAGGCGCGCGCGGAACGCGACGCGCCGTACGCTCGGGTTACCGTGGTAGAAGCCACCCGGCAGAAAAACACATACCTATGTTTACTCGTTTTAGCAAAGTAACATCAAATGTTAGCACAAATTTAATGCCCTACTCACGACACAAGAGAAAATAATATTATGTAGTGCGAAACGTAACTTTTTAAAATACTTGTTTTTTCAAACTGTTCAAAGCATTGATTGCACAGTTGGCGCGGTGGTTGGCAACCGGCTGCCGCTGAACATGTTGCGAGTTCGATTCCCGCACGGAGCAACTCTTTGTGTGATCCACAAATTGTTATTTCGGGTCTGGGTGTCATATGTATGTGAAATTGTATGATTGTAAACGCACCCACAACACAGGAGAAAATCCTAACGTGGGGCAACGTTTTTAAAAAATATATATATTTTTATAGAAGGTATTAGGTAGTATCACACGTTCTACAAACCTAAAAATATAAGAAAACCCCAAAGCTAACTGGTACTTCAAATCAATGGCGTACAAAAATACTTAATTTGAAATCGATCCACTTAATTTTATCTATGTGATCCAATTTAGATTCGAGATTACATTATTCATTCAAGTATTTAACTAAAACTTACTTATATATGCTGTATTGATATTTATACTGATTATAATATTTTGTACGTAATTTAAAAACATAATCTAAAATATTACGTAAAAAAAGATAGCTACTTACACTCGGCGCGTAATTCCCAGACAAGAAGTACCGTAGTTTCGACACCGCTTCTTTGTAAGCCAATTCGGTGTAATCAGGTATCCTCTTCAACCCATACTCGTTCATCTTACTTGGCCGCCTATTCAAATAATTCGTATAATACATAATTAAAAACTTAACAAACACAGCAATAAAACATTTTAAAATTTTAAAAATATTCGAAACAAAAAAAGAAAAATAAAAATCAAATGTTGAATTTGGAACTAGTGTTGCGCATTGCGCCGGGGACTCGAGTGCGGGATTATTTCACCAGGTATCGATTATACAAAGCGGTTGCCATGGTGACGGTTGTTGTGGTAAACAATTGCTTCGCGACGAGTGCAAGGTACATGCAATCGATTTATCACCTGTGATTAGATAGACGAGATTAAATTGGGCCTGACTTAATTAGTTTTTTCAGTGACATGCGATTTTCATTGGCAATTTATTTCAAAGGTTAGACTACTGAGTATAAGACCCTGAGTTCACCACCTACGGTGGTTTTTCGACATCGAAAGTCTATCCACTGGTTTAGAGGCTCAATTTTGCGTGGTTCAGAGGGTGCTTGACTCCTGACTCATAAACGGTGAAAATAGGTGGCCTCTAAAATACCTCTGCCCAGCTCTTCGGCTATTAAAATGTGGTATATACCTATGATTAACAATTAGTAAAATTTATATTTTAAAATATTAAGAGATTACAAAATATAATTTCACTACATTTTCTCAAAGGTGCCTACCATATAATGAAAAATACTTTAGTTACGCTTCGTTGCGTTGTGAAGTCGGTTTTTAATAAGTTTAAAATGTTCAATTTTTTAATGATTACAATTGAAAGATTTTCAAAAATATAAAGAAGTTAAAAAGGGTACTAAAAAAAGTACTGTGATGCATAAAGCTACATACAGACAGAAAATCTCATTTTCACCAACTTTACGCAATTGTAATTCTAAAAAAGATTGTAATAAACACTCTACTTTCAATTATTATACGAAAATTATTTATTTCTCAATAGAAAATATTTTGTTATCGATTAATAATCAAAATGCATACCAGCGATTAAAATTTCCTCTCGAATCCTTTATTCGTATCTTCCATAGCTAAGGTGCAGCACTACTACTCACATAAACGCTTTTTAACAGGTCGATTATACTTGCCGAATTTTAGTGCGCTTCAACTTGGCGCTCATCTCTTTGTCAGAACCCACACTGGAACCACTCTTCACTCGGTAGCCTGTAGACTTCGGCTTTGTGACGTAACTTGTCGAACCCATACTATCACTAACACGCCAACTATCCGAATCTATCGCAATTTATATTCAAAACAATGCAAAATTTATGCCAACGGGAAAGTATTAAAATTGATATTTTGCAATAGGTACTGGTAAACCGACACGATAAGGAACCTATAAATTCAAATTTTCGAATATGGAAGGCATCGCGGGCGCGAGCTGCCTCCTATAGGCTTGACGAAAAAGGAATGAGATTTCGAAATAAGAACTTTTTGCTCCTTCCTGTGTTTTGTCCCGCTTGCACGCGCGGGAATAATGACTATGTCCGTTTCAAATCGATGGAAAAGTTTTTCTTCAGGATGAATAGTCCAGGAGCTAGCGCGGAAAATTATACAGTCATCGGTTCGATTAACAAAATACTAATCGGTAGTGTAGACCTTATTAAATGATTACCTGTTTCTTTTAGATATTATAAACTCAAACGGCTCAAACTGTTGCTCAACATGAGCAGGCTCTTAATTATCCACGTGGATCCACGTTTTGACACACGACGGGTTAAGCGTTCAAAGCTTCTGATAACCAGTTTAATATAAAAATTTAGCTAATATAGTTAATTGCCTGTTCTGATAAATACTCCTTTACTAATTACAACAATTAACTTCTTTATTAATATTAAGGAGCACCAACTGCCAATACAAATAACAATGAGCATGGCAACAAAGTTCCTAGAAAAAGTGCCATTTTTTTACGCCATAAGCCGGTAAACGAGCAGACGGATCACCTGATGGTAAGCAATCGGCGTCGCCCATGTACACCTGGAACACCAGAGGCGTTACAAGTGCGTTACCGGCTTTTTGGGTAACGCACGTATTTTTGTTTTTTACGGAAACCAATGCTTTCGACGATATATTGATTTGAAATGTCGCGTGACGTCACTTCTATGTACATTTTATACATAGAAATAACGTTTTAGCCCCCACTCCTAAACTTTGAATCGTTATATCTAAGTATCATTTTATTATACGTACATAAAAAAAAAAAATACGCGTCTAATATTTTATCATTACCTAACTGACGGACTATTTAGATTTTTAATTTTCATACCCTGTCATCATCCCTATTGTACAAATCTGCCTCTTAGACTACGCGACAGGCAGTGTCTAGCGTGCATCGAAGACGAGCTAATAACTTTTTGGAGGGAAAATACATCGTCGATCACGCAACAAAGATGGCAGCTTCGCCACAAATCATGGCTTTTTACGTCGCCTGAGTCATCCGCATAATTATATTCACGTAGTTTTCTTGTTTATTATGCAAATTACTGTAGCGTTTTCATTTAATATCTTTTTAATATTAGGTGATAGAATTTTCAAGTAAGTTTTCATTGTTGACGATGTTTTTAGGTTAGGGTTTGTTTTTGTTCGCGTGCGATCTTTTCCTTTTAGTTAGGTTATTGTTTGAGGTACAATTCAACCATGGCAGAAACTTTTTTGGGTTGCGTTAATGCATTTTTTAATAATGATTAGTAATTGGCCCTGACTTGGTGTAGTTAGTTTAGAACTTTGGACACGCAGAAGTGATGGATGAAAGTAGAGTAACGAAAGAAGCATACAGAGCGAATATGAATGGGGCCGTCGATAGAGGGCGCCCTAGACGGACATGTACTGACTAGATTGGCGATATATTAAAGAAGGGCCCAAATAAAAGTACCCTTAACCGACGAGCATGCATGAAAAGATTGATGACTGTTGATGAGCGAAAGAAGTATGAAGGAATCGTAGCAATTGGCGTTCCATAGTCTCTGCCTACATCCATGTGAGACAGGCGTGAAGTTAAGTATGTACTTTTGGTGTAGGTTATTTTCACTGTTTCGTCACTGATACACGTACCGCCATTATTGGATTTTGACCTTACATAGCTTACTTACTCAAATTTAACCGTCTGCAGCTGACGTGTAGTCTCACAGACACCGCGAAATACAAAATCACGTGTTATACCGTCATTTTTCAAATACGAGCATCACTGCTGCGAGTACCTTACTGTATAGTGCTTTTTTTTTTTTTTTT